GAAAGTTTCGATGGCACTTACTTGTTGTTCTCCATGTACAATAAGCGTATGTTGTTCTCCGTTTTGGTCTAATACAGTTAAGCATAATAACATCCGCACATTGTACGCAGAGAATAATGGATAGGTATTGTTGAAATTTTCTAGATATGAAAATGCACAAAGTTACAAAGATAGATGTATGCGCTACTATATTCTTAATGGGATAGAAGTCTTTCCTATGATAGCCGCTAGAGTGTTTAGATCAACCTAGGTTTTTTTTCATTTTTGAATTCTATTTGTCTTGATAAATTATGAATGCATATAATGGATGCATGTATATAATATAATGAGAAGCTAATAATTTAACATAATATACAGATGAGGATAATTCCAGATAAAACATGGATAGATATTCCTCGTGTTTAAAGATTTCGTGACAATCGATATAAGGATGGATGTAAAATCTTCATGCAGTTTCCCATGATAAATCCAAAGAATTTAAGTAATTGTGCGATTTATTGCCCTTGTTGTACGTGTAAAATTCTAAAGTTGGTGCATAGTAGTGATATACTAAAACACTTAGTAGATTCAGGATTTGATTATAGTTATAAATATTGGTCATTTCACGGGGAAGACTACGTCGAAGAAGAATTGCATGTGCATGCAAATGCATCTGATCATGGTAGGATAGATGATACAAAAACGATGTTCAATGATACATATTCTGAAGTTGGTGCATAGTAGTGATATAATAAAACACTTAGCAGATTCAGGATTTGATTATAGTTATAAATATTGGTCATTTCACGGGGAAGACCACGTCGAAGAAGAATTGCATGTGCATGCAAATGCATCTGATCATGGTACGATAGATGATACAAAAACGATGTTCAATGATACATTAGCCATTCCCATCGAAATAATACTAAAAATGATAACGAAGATGAAACTGATGATCCTGAAGAGGTAGAAGATCTACAAGGTGCAGAAGTTTTCCAAAATGTGCGCACTTTTGAGGATTTGAGTAGAATAATGAAGTTATTAAAAGATAATGAAAAGGACTTGTATAATGGTTTTACTAAGTTCTCCAAGATCTCATTTGTATTGTGACTCCTACATATTAAAACAATAAGCAAAATGGGTAATGAATATTTAGAAATGCTACTTGATTTGTTGCAGACAGTAATTCCAAGAGGAAATGATAGCATACTTGAAACAACTAGGGCAGCTAAGAAGATTGTCTCCACTTTAGATCTTGATTACAATAGGATCGATGTGTGCCCCAATGATTGTATCATTTACTATAAGAATAAAAAAAGACCTTCAAAAATGTCCGACATGTGGAATTTCTCGGTGGCGACAATGTACACACACTTCATCATTAAATCCAATAGAAAGCAAGGGCATGAAGAGTAAGATTACAGCAACAAAAGTGCTTCGTCATTTTCCCTTTGTCCCTAGATTGTAGCGACTTTATATGAATAAAGACACAGCTAATAACATGAGATGGCACAAGGAAGGGTTGCGTTGATGATGGCAACCTAAGACATCTTGCTGATGCAAAGGCTTGGAAGCATGTTGATAAAATATTTCCTTGGTTTTCACGTGAATGTAGAAATATCAGATGGGTCTATCTAGTGATGGTTTTAATACGTTTAGGCTTATCAGATTTTGTTAATTTTGACATTGTACTTCGATTATATGTATTTCTAAAACTTTTTTGTGCAAACAGTAACTTTCAATAGACATGCTAATCTGAGATGCTGCAAGTACGACCACCATATTGGTTCACGATCGTATACTACTGTTGAGGGTAGTTATTACCGATCTACGGTATAGAATATTTAAAGTTTAGTATTCTTTAAATATTTATTACAACCACTTCTATTAGCTTTTTAATTCGTAGGGAAAAGCCATCATGCCGGTCAATGAATTGGTGAAGGTTGCTTATAGCACCTTCAAGAGTACATATGATAAGGAAGACAAGTAGAAGGAAAACCTCAAGTTTGTGGTAATAATTCTATTTCACATATGAAATTTGTATTTAGTTTTTAAAATCTTATTATTTTTTAAATCAGTCCTTCCATTAGTTGTCTTGGATAATCTCTAACTAACTTTGGTTGGGCAACTTCTTAGTTTGAAGTAACTTAAACAAAGGGATATAACTAGTGTATGAGTAATGTTTGTTGCCATGACTACTAGTGACAACATTCTTGGATGATAATATGTTAGAATAGGAATGCATTTAGGAATAGAAAATTGCTTTTAAGTTTTTTTTTTGGTACATTGTCTTATTGGAACAAATATATCAAGTTTGTACAAGTTATAATTTAATTAGTATCTAATAAATTGAATCATGAACTTCTCTATTATTTACAAAAAAATTTATCTTGATATTATAATTCCTTATTATTGGTTGTTTTTTTAGGCGAGCTTTAACATGGAGATAACTCGGACAATACTACAAGTAACACAGGGTGAAGTGGAAGGTGATCCATACCTACACATTCTATCCGTGGAGGATAATGACAAGATTGTCACAACTATTATAGGAAATAAGCAAAAGAGCAGATATCCATTACGGGGGGTTGGGGCTCGACGGTGCCATTACACTTCATCCTCCACAGAATCTATGGTGGCACCTTCGACTTCGATGGGACCCATGACACCGACATCAACGCACCTACATTTGTGTAGCCACCTATTGTGTCTCCAATCTTGGATCTCATTAATCGTGTGACATACTATTTGGTGGGTAAGATTGATCCGACACTTTATTACCAGGTGACGACAAAGCTATTCTCCATTTTACCTTAGTCACAGTTGGAGATTGTTCTACGTCACATCATATCTTCCTTGTTTGGCATGATTCCCGATGATTTATTTGTGGAGATTGTACCTCAGCTGAACATGGAAGCCGGATTTATGCAGACTGGTGCACATGTATGTTTACATAAGCCTTCGTTGACTTTGATGATTGCTTTAGTGTAGGTCACAATTCTTTATTATCTCTATAGAAATTCTTTGAATAAAGGACGTACACAATGGATATGTTAGCTTCGAACTTAAAAAACTAAGTATAGTTTCTATATTTAACATATAGGATGAGGGTATAAAATAGTTATATATTGTGTCGGTCCTAAGTTAACTCGATGAAATAATGATATTCAATTTTTTTGAAGTTATGCAAACTAATATTCAATTTTTAATTTTTTAAGATTACTAACTTTACAACTATATATACGTGACATGCAACTTAAGTTAAAATAAGTTGTAAATTGTGAGGTTCTTTAACATAACATGTTTGAATTTTTTTAAAGCATGAATAACACGGGTAATACACAAAAAAATGTTTTCTTCAATAATAGTATAGAGTATAATATTTTGCTAAATCTTGCACGCTTCTAATACGTAATTGTTTTATGTTAAGGCTACGGATGCTATGGGGAGCAATAGTGGCATGAATGAGGGGCACGCAACAGACGGAGATGATCAGGAAGAGGAGGTTGAGCTTAGTATCTAAGTGTTTATTTTCTATCGTATCTATCTTATGTGTATGGGATATTACATTATCCATAGGAGTCTTAAACATTTGCTTGACTATGATGGATTTCTTATTTCATGACTTATTATCTATGTGTGTATGATGAAAGTATGTTGGATTTGGATATTGTTGGATATTATTTGGTATTATTCGATATTTTATTGGATTGTGAATATGTGGGATGTCAAATTTGACATTATTCGATATTATTGGATTTGGATGTGGATATTGTTGGATTTGGATGTCGATATTGTTGGATATTGTTGGATTTGGATGTGGATATTGTTGGATTTGATGCGGATGAAAATATTTTATATGAATGTGATGGATATATGTTTATATAGGTCAAAGGCGTGGCAGAGGAAATGCAAATATGTTGTTGGAAATGCATATAAACCATCGCCAACGGCCTTGCCGTCATAGATGGTATCCTAGACAACACAACCATCTAGGATGTGTAAACCACATCCTAGAAAGCTGTGTCGTCTAGGATGTATCCTAGACAGCCAAGCCGTTAGGATGTGTTACACCAACTTAGACGGCCATTCCGTTTAGGATGTGACGGCATATCCTAGAGGGTTGTGCCGTCTAGGATGTATGCCCGTCTAAGATGGCTTTTCTAGATGACTACGCCATCGGTGATGCTTCATCCTAGACGGATTTATTACCGACGGTGTATCCTAGATGGACGTCCGTCTGTGATATGTATCGTAGACGGTTTTGAATTACATCCTAGACGATTTCAGCCGTCTAGGATGGGTCTAGGATGGGTAGATCTCTACTAGTGTGCCTCCAGCATTGAGTTTTGTTATGTAGTGAGTAGTCCTCATATAATATCTCCAATCTAATGATACAATTCCCTTCATCTTCAACACCACTCTGTACTTTTTACCTTTTCCCCCTACTTTTTTCTTTTCTTCCTCATGAATAAAATGTGATAAGATCTTTATTTCCTCAGAAACAAGGTCCTATGCTCTAATACGTTTTGGATGCAATAATTAGTACGTCACAAACGCTCACCAAAATTTCACCAACTAGGTGGCGACGAGTAGATTTGAGCAATTCCGTCAACTAAATCTAAAGAAAGTTGGTTCCGCCCCTATAACCCCTATTAAGCTTGTGGTTGAGAAATCTATTTGAGATAAATTGTGCCTTCACTTCTCTTGAAGTAGAAATAGAAACAGAATTAACTTATATACCCTCTTAAGAGTGATTAATAAAATCTACATTGCCATAAAATTAAAAATAAATATTCAAAATTTAGATAGTTTACATGTACTATTTACGGAATATGTAACTCTGTCATATAGAACATTTGTTAATCTCTAGGCTGTTGATATTTGACATAAAGAAGTTGCAAGGTGGTAGGCTAGTCTGGTAAATTGTAACTTGCAAGTTTAGAAAATTGTACATAAACATATCCTATGTGCATGCACCATGAATGCTATGTAGATTGGAATTTATATAAATAGCTGTGTATGCAACATTGATCTACTCGTGGAAAGAATTGGATGCAAGAACAAGATACCAAACAATGAATTAAACTGTCATCTATACAACTTCATTATGATCGGGTAAAAGCTAACTTGCATTCTTTATTGATTTGAAATCTCCAAACAATGGTATCAACAGAACTATGATGATTCACTAATTCTCATTAGCAAACTTGATCCCTTTCTCAATGGAGGACTTGAGCTCAGCCTTCAGATTCTCCAACCCTTGCTTTTCAAAATCAGAAAGAGAACCCAATCCAAGTACTTCTTCAACACCATTCTTCCCCAGCCTCACCTGTAAAGATGAAACAATTTACATTAAGTTTTATTTATCCTTAAACAGTGTGTAGGTACAGAATTATTAGCAGGTATAAATATGGTAGATCGGAAAAGAGGTACTACCATATACATTAAACCCTACCAACACAATGGTTATGGAAAATATTAAAGAAGCTTGGATATTCGGAAAGATAGATACAGGTTAAATCAGAATAAAGGTGAGGATTATCCTAATAGCATCACCTTGGAGGAAAAGAAAGGTAGCTCTGTGGTGCTTGACTGCACAAAAGAACATTCCACAACATCAGGAACCCCATTAAGGCCCTTCAAGCATGCATCTGCAAAGAGAGCACCAGCATACCTGCATTCCAAATTGAGTTTAAGGCACTTATAATTCAAATCCTTTTAGAACCAAGAAAATGAAACATAAATATCAGTGTAACCAGAAATTTTAGTAAAGTGAAAGATACATATAAGCAAATATTCAAGGAACATTGAGTGAGAAGCACCAAAAAAGAACATATACTTGCATACTTTTAGGATACTAGATAGCAAGCACGTTTGAATTTCAAATTGACTTTGCCTTAATGTCTTCTATTGTATTTGCAATTGTATCATGATTTCTGAGTTTTAGAAGCACATTGTAAGAATAGAATAATAACACATACACATAGACTTGTCTGAACGAACATGGTTCCTAGGATATAAATGATGAAGTATTGAATCAAAATTAACCGAAACAAAATTTTGCAGGTTTCTCAAACTTACGCCATGGACAAGGTTGCAGAACCTTTTCCAGCCTTTGCCTCCACAACTTCAGTCCCTCCATCTTGTGTTCTCCTTGTGAGTGCCTTGATATCCTCTTCAGACAAAGAATTAGCTGCAGGAGTTGCCTATAACCGGGGGGAAAAAAGAAAGATGAAGACCTTCAAGTCTACAGATGAAATCGAATAAGAAAACGTGACAACTGTATCACCTGAGAAAATAAAGGCAGAATTGTTACACCCGCGTAGAGATGTTAAATGGGTGGGTATGGGTTTAAATGGGCGGGCCATAAATGGGCGGGCATGTTTTGCCCATTTACCCATTTATGGCCCATTTAACATTATTTAAATGGGCGGATTTTTGCCCGCCCATTTAATAAACGGGTCGCCCATTTGCCCATTTAACTATAGTACATATATATGTATAATACTTTTATGGTGTTTTTTGTAAACTTTTAGGGGTTTTTTTTGTAAACTATTGTTGGTTTTTTGCAAACTTTATGGGAGCTTTTTGCAAACTTGTTGGGGCTTTTGATAAAATACTAACAAAGATAGGAACATAAACAAAGATAAACAAATGCAGACAAATTCATGATTGAACCATTTACAAGCCTGGATAAAAGTACAGACCTCACACATTTGCAAAATTAACCTCAAATTTCCAAACCAAAAACCAAAAGATCAATAACAACAAAATTGCGAGTATATTTAAATGAATTAAGATAGAAAACACAAGGTATGCAAGGATCTGTATAAGATCAATAACTTGATATAAACGCCATCATAACTATCAGCAACACGATCACGATTAGTAAGGACAATCTACTTAATTACTTGATAAACTAGAAGAGTAGTAAGTTCGTCTATAAACAAAATAGTAGCACAACCATAGTCTACTTATTTCCCATCTTTCAAATGTTCAGGCATGAACAGGATCATGACAGAAGAAAGAAAAGACCAGGAAACAAACTATTAATGAGATTGCTAAGTCAAACTATCAAATTAAACAATTAACCAAGTAAAGTTCATGAACCATGGGAACTGTATTAATATATAAAGAACTTAATATTTGTAATCTCATGATTTAAGGGAAATCCTTCTTGGTATTTGTACGTGTAGTGTAAAAGTGAGGCAAAAGCTCAAAAATTTTGCTTACTCATATACTAATTAATTGTAGGATTAGTTGAACATACAAATACATAAAAGTATTCACACTTTAAATCATTACACAAGAATCACACATACTGATATCACAAAAATTGTGCATTTATAGTACATAAAAGTATCCCACCCACAAAAGGGATTCCATACCTGAAAACTTCTGCTATAGTCTCATCTTCTGGAGAAAATTTATGTGCCTTTCTCAAGTCGGAAACAGCAGCCTGATCAAGCGGTGAGTGAATAATACTATCATTAGTGGATATGATGCTTTAAAATGGAGACAAGATGGTGGACAGTGAACACAATAATTGTTTAAAATCAAGACACGAGAGTGAAACTATGTTGCATATATCAGATTCCATATACTTTTTGAAGGGGAAAAAAGCAACACGACGTATCAGTAATTCCACTTTTTCAAGACTTCTTACAACAAGATCCAATTCATACTAGTCACGAAAACAAATTTGTGCATATGTCAATATCAGGTTTGTATCCACTCCGCTTGCACCCCTATCACAATGTCACACCTTCCGCCTGCCAATAATCCAGAAAAAGAGAGAATATTATTTTAAAGGCAATTTTATATAATATTCACAAACTACTCTTAGATATTCACAAATCTACTAATTAATATCAAACTACTACAAAATTAATTCTTTTTTTCAAAAACTAAGAAATATATTTTACAACCTAATTTTAACAATAATTAGAATCTAAATTTTTATAAGCAAGTCAAAGGAAGAGTACATTAAACTTGATAGAGGCAAAAACTCAAAACACCTCACACTTGGAAATAATAACACAAAAATAGCCTCACACTTGGAAAACCAATGGAAATGTTCTCACAATTGGAAAAACCAAACCAATGCCCACACATTTGGGAAAACCCCAAACGAAAAATGGAAAAAAAAACACTAACAAATAACCAATTTTCGAGTCAAGTGCGCGTTGCGTGCACCAAGATACTACTGATACTATGTGGCAATTCTAAAAGATAACAAAAGAATCATATCAATTATCAAATTATCAATCCGCTTCTCTACACAAGACAACAAAGTTTTGCTCTATGAAAAGCCATCATCATCAAACTGAGCTTATTGAAATCAGTAATAGTAAAGACAGATAAGAAGAAGGACAGCTGAAGGAGAGGCCTTCATAGAGCAACCTGATTAGATATACAGAGTAAATAAAAGCATTTAATCAAGTATGAACTCAGAACAGCTTATGCAATTTGCAACCTGTATTATAATTAATTCCGAGACATTTGTTCCTTTTAAAAAAAACTTATACCACCGATGAGTCAATACTATAGAAGATAATAAACACAAAGAAAAACAATAGCAAGGAACATTATATACTGTCAAGTGTCAGTATAAATACAATTCTGAAACAAACCATCAGTTTGACAAGTAAAAACAGTGACAATTAATCTTCTTTTAAGTATTCAAGATAAGATTGCAGGGTGATGTTAAAATTCTTTTAAAAAAGAATCTGAGGCATACCGGGTCCAAGGTTGAGAAACCATCGATAAAGAAATTCCAAAGCATAGTAAGCCAATTTGCTATTATCAGCTTGCAATGCAACATCAGCATTAGTGTTACACTTACACATGTTCCAGTTTGGACTCAAGGCCTTGTTCAGGTCACTTGTCTGAAAGCATACAGATAAGGACGCATGATCAATGTAGACAATGAAATCAACACAACAAAATTAAGCACATTCATGGAAAACATATGCAAGCCAATTGCAAACTTTAAATGAGATTCTGGAGCATATTAATTTATCTTCTTTGGAGATTTGAATTAAACCTGACATTGATACCTTGCATTTCTGTATGATGCTTGATAAAGTGTCCAGACTCCCAGCAGACAAGCAGCGCCACACACAATCCATGAATGTGCTTGATGAAAGCATGTGGCCAGATTTAAGCATTAAATTCAAAATCTTCAAAGCTAAATCAATTTGGTTTCTTCATATTAAAAGACCAATAACCAAATTGTACGATTCGTAATCAGGCATAATGCCCGTATGGATCATCCTGAAATCAATCGATAAACAATGCTTCACATTTATGACCGTGAGTTTATTTACACAAGAACAGATTACACAATAAGAGGTACAAAATCTAATTTTATTGATACATCCGATAATAAAAAGTCACATAGTAATGGAAACAATATCAACAGCAAGTCATTTAATAAAATTTTAGGATGAAAGAATCAACCTTTAGCGCATTAGACGCCTTCTTCAGCTCGATCTCGAGCTCCATCATCGTCGTCGCCTCACTCGACCGAATCACCGCCGCAAGCGCCATGATCGCCGCCACAGCCTCAGCCAAATCCGGCTTCTTCCTCCAGAAACTGAACTCATCAATCACACTAAACGCCCTCCCTCCACCTCCCCCAGCGGAGTCCTCCGACGATGACAGCGACGGAGTGGACGAATTGACAGCGGGCGCGACGGACGGCCTGGGCGAGCACTCGCTGGGTAACAACAGCGTGATGCTCGGATCGGGTCTTGTAGTAGGCGGAGATGCTAGGTCTCAGGTTGAGATTTGTCGAGGACGAACGAAGCGCGACGTTCGGAGGAGGAGCGGAGGAGGCCTGCGGTTGAGGCGGGCGCGAAGAACTCAGAGTCAGAGAGAGAGAGTTGAGAAACGAAGGATTTAGGGTTTTGGGCGGGCTGTGGTGGGCTGGCGGGCGGGCGGGTATAGAATGCCCATTTAGACCCGTTTAAGTGGATGTAAAATGCACCCGCCCGTTAGACCCATTTAATTAAATGGGTGGGTTTTGGTGGGCCCAAATAATGGGTGGAGCCAGATGGGGTAAATGGGTATGGGGCATAAATTGTCTTCCCTACACGCGAGTGCCACCACAACAGGAACATTAACGTCTGCAAAGTATTATTATCAAATAATGATAAATCTAGACTAAAGATGAAACTTAATATCAAAACTAAGAAAATACAAAATATTTACCAGAAACAGGGACATTAGCCTTCCCCGCATAAAAAGTCCTAGCCCTAACCACATCCAGAGTTGTAACACCAAATAACTTCCTTTCATCATAGGTCCCTGCTTTCTTGAACACCTCTGCTGCAATTGGCACCGTTGAGTTCACTGGGTTGCTTATCACATTTACAATTGCCTAGAAGTATATATATACTTCAACATCAAATTATCCAAAACCAAACAATGATTAAGAGGAAAATAATTCTATTCCCTAATTTTGAAACTGACTTTCGAATCCACTTATTCCATACTGGAACTTTCAGTTTTTTATCTCAGATACTACAATATATTGATCACGGAAACTATTTTATTTGAACTGAAAATATGCTATCCATGCATCATATATGTTGTCACTAAAATGTAATTCCCTAATTGTAAATGAAAACATTTTATTCATGCTTAAAACACGTTCAATTTTGCAACACAGGAAAGTTTCAACCAGTTTCATTAATGAGAAAATTCCAATTTTATTGTGAGAAAATTGAGAAACAAATTACCAAGTCGTAATACACCTGTAATGAGAATATACTATCATGCTTAACTAATCCTATATTACGTAATAGAAGTATTGTTCATTAGTAAAAGATGAAAATTTTCAATCTACTCATCAATAAGAAAAAATGAACAATTGCTAAGGTGCAGTGCTATATGTAATGAGAATATAGTATTTATACTTAAAATAAGTTAATATTTCATAATAAAAATATTATTTTTAGTAAAAGGTGAATTTTTTTAACCTATTTTACTTACAAGTACAAGAAAACAATGAAAACAAATTATTGAGATGTAGTACAGCAACTATAACGAGAACATGCTACTGATGCTTAAAGCTTAAAATATGTTGCTTCCATAATTGATGGAAGGTATCTTCTTTTTAGATAAAAGATGGAAATTCTCAATTTATTTCAACAATAAGAAACTAATGAAACAAAATACTATGATGAAATAAGCTAACTCTAATTAAATATATTATTCATGCTTAAATCTCTATAGTTCACACAAAAATTCCATTTTTGGTTAAAGTTGAAAATTTCACAAAGTTTTCTAATTAACAAGAAAATAATGAAAGAAATTAATAATAGATGTAAACAAAAATCTGCTATGTAATATTATCCATACTGCATGTACACCCTATACTCCAAGTCTCCAACTTCTTTTACTCCCAAAAAAAAAAGTCCAATGTGTGGGGTCATTTCCTACGATTTGCTATAAATAATAATTATGATTCAGCTGATCAAAAATTATAATTCATTTCTTATGAATTACTATCAATTTTTTCTTTTTTCCCAAAACTATTATTATGTATATCATGTTGCCCCTAAATTATGTCTGTCTCCCTACTAACACCCACCCCCCCCCCACCCCCCCCACCCCTCCTCAAAAAAAAAATCCCAACACCCAAAAAAAAAACGTCTTCAGTCTCACTTTACCCAAAAAAAAGAAAAAATTCTTTTTAAAACGTCAACAAAATAAAAATGAAAGGTGATAATTAGGTACTTAAAGTGATAGTTCCGGGTGTGCGCAAGGACGATTTTAATAGCTTAGGGGCAAAGTGGGAATTTATGAAATAGTTCAGGTCACGCAGAAGATGAATTCAATAGTTTATGGAGTATCTAGGGACTAAACATATAGTCCAGGGTAAATTTATAGTTCGGTTATCTCTGCTCACTATATGTTACGTTTCTTCTTTTTCAAGTCAAAAAGTGGACAATTCAACCAAAAAAAATTCACATCCACTAAGTTTCAAGGAAATTAGTTTCACCCAAAAGAATAATAATAATAATAAATTCTTACACCGGGGCAATGTTCAGCAACGGCAACACAAAGGGACTTAACAATCCCAGCATTAACATTGAACAAATCATCCCTCGTCATCCCCGGCTTCCTCGGCACGCCATAATCACGAGATCCGATCCTTTCAGAGCCTCCCCGATCTTCTCCTCGCCGACGAAACCGGCGACTTCGGGCCGAGTGGACACGTGGCTGACGTCGGCGGCGACGCCCGGGGTTGGCGCGACGTCGTAGAGGAGAGGGAGGACACGAGGGGGTGGAGCTTCATCAGCATCGACAGTGGTTGGCCGATCCGCCCGGCGCGCCAGGATGCAGACCTTGCGTCGGCGGCGGAGGCGGCGGAGGAGCAGGAGATGAAGGATCGGTGGATCGGCGATGGGGTGTTAGGGTTCTGAGAGGGGAGGTTAGGGTTAGGGTTTTGAGGAGAGGGGATCTCATATTGTTGTTTGTTTTGGAGAGAGAGAGAGAGAGAGAGAGAGAGAGAGAGAGATTATGACAGAAACTGAGGAAGGAATGAGGGAGAAGGCGCTTATATATGGAGTCTGTTGACATGCAGCAGCAGACAGTTGCTGTGTAGAGTTTGTTCAGTTTTTAACAAGCCCAAATAATGTATTAATGTGGGCATGAAATCGAATGAAAATAAAGGGTGGATTTTATTTTCTTTTAAAAAAATAGAAATGTTAGGGGCACACCCCAAGTCACACCTCCAACCACACCTCCCCCTCTCATTCACTACAGTACTCCGGGCCTCACATGAGTTTTTAAAATTTAAAAACTCATGTGAGGCCCGGAGTACTGTAGCGAATGAGAGGGGAGGTTTGGTTGGAGGTGTGGTTTGGGGTGTGCCCTTAACACCACTCTTAAAAAAAAACTTTAATTTTGAGGTGAGTTTTACAAAACCCCATGACATATGAAAATTAGAGAAGACCCCCGTAAGTAAATTTAGGGGGTTCGAAAGAATCCCCTGAACTTTTGAAAAGTTCTACAATGTGAAATTTTTTTTATTAAATTAAAATAATTCTTCCCCGAGAAAACCGTGGAATGGAATTTGCACCAAGGTTCATGTAGAAGTTCTCTAAAGATCAGAGGGCTCTCTTGGGAAACTCTCCAAAGACCATGGGCGTTTTCTTTAATTTTCCTAGTTTAGGAGGATTTTTTGCAAATCCCCCAAAAGCTCAGCAGAAATTTACGAAACACTAAAATTCTACACCACCCGTTCCCAGATTAATCACCAGTTGAAACAAATGCGAAAATGTGATTCACCACTGTGGGGGAGTAGCCATACTCACAGGACCTCCATTCAATCAATTCTTTTGAGATAAAATTTTGGGGCACCACATTTTATTTAACAGGAAATTTTCCGAAACCAAGATCACAAACAAAGGTAAATCCCATCATTGGGTAGCAACAAAATAGCTCTATCAGTTCATTTAGTAGGTTTATGCAAGTAAGTACGAGCAACAAAACATCATATATATGAAAAGTTACACACAAAGACATGAAGTATCAATTTGCATATTTAAACGAGCACAAGATGCCCCTTAAAGTATCAGTTTGCCTATTTTCCCCCTTGAACCGTGTACATATTCCCAATGAAATCATTTTGAGAGTCTGAACTCAAATAATTAACATATTAATGACGTGCTCGAGTTTTTGTGTATTTCTCGCAATTTAAAAATGAACTTTTAATTCATACCAAGAGTTAAAGGGTAACAAGTTTCAAGGGAAAGTAGTTAAATAATATGTTTTTAGTTTTGTGGGGCAAAGGTGACAAACTAATAAAAACCCATAAAGAAATGCAAAAAAAAAAGACATTGTCACGTCATTGATCAATAAAATATTTGGGTGTATACTCACAAAGTAATTACATTAGGATATGCATACGTAGTTTAAGGAGAGAAATAGGCAAATCAATATGCTAATGAGCAACTTGAAAGTTTACCGATATTTTAGAGGGGAAAATAATCATATTTTCCTTTATAAAATTAGTATCATAAAGTAACCGAAGATACATTCCCAAGTTACTTCTCAACTAATAACCAACACCACCAATTCAGCAGGGAGAACTTCGCACAGAATTTCAAATCCAGCCAGCTTCAAATTGCGCGCTTTCAGGGTTAGGATTTCCCATAGATGAAAGGACTTAAGATGCCTGTCCTTCACAAAAGAACCTAGCATTCAGAGATCTTTCATGAAACTGTGAATATCGTGCAAAAATTTTGTTTCGGAACTTCAATAACTGGAAATGGAATGACTACCTCGCTGGAATTATCAAAAGACATGATGGAATCGATCAGCTCACAAACTATAGTGACCCTTAAGTCCTTAACCATCCAAACTCGAGTTCTCTCTCTCCATGGCAATTATATCCACAAGCCTATCATGAACCTGTTATAGAAATTCAATGACGTACACAGAAAATTCAAGCGAGCAACGTCACATGAGAAAAAAAAATATAAGAAGAAGAAGAAGAAGAAGAAGAAACATTGTTAAGCCATGAGATACCTCGAATCATACCTGCATGGAAGTGGTACACAAAAGATCTGAGTACAAAGTCCCCACCACTTAACAATTAGAAAACAGACGATGAGAGCAGTTAGTATATTACGAAATTAGAGAAGATTGTTTAGTCCCACGTTAAAAGAGAGCGTATTTCGGTTTATTTGTTTTTCTATACAATCCAACAGCTTTTTATGGATAATCACCTAGGGTGAGGGTTTTTAGAGATACTGCTCTGGGCTATAGCAACACGTTATTATGGAAAATGACTAAATAATCGGGTTCTAGTTGTAAGAAAACTAATAGACTACAACTCCGTAATTGTGCAATGTTGAACTAAACATGTTCTCAAAGTTTTCTATTTATACTAACCACTCTAATAAGAAAAAAACTCACCATTCACGAGGAATTCCAGCTTCATCACGAGCTGAGTAGTTGAAAGGGCCCTTCAACTCCACATTATATTCTCTCAAAATGTCTAGACGTCAATAACAAGTCTGTGATGTGATCTTTGATAGATTGATCATTGATATATCATTGCGCTTGCAGTAAGACAAAAAATTTATACCTTTAAAGGCAGCAGAAGGGGTCCTGCCCGTCTTTCGACAAACTAAGAGAAACCAAAATACCCCAACTGCAACATGAGCAACCTCTTCCTCAGCAATCTTAGCAACAATCTCTGATGTCCTGTGATCCCCAAAGCCAACTAATTTCTGAACTAGCCTAGGCCCAGCATCCAGTCCTCTTGCCTCCTGAAATGTTATTTCCTTATTCGGCAATGTTATGGTGAATTATAGTGAAAATTAACAATTATAGATGCATGGGCTATTTGGGGCAAATAAGAAAAGGGGAAAAAAAACCTGAACCAGAGGAATCACTGCAAGGCGAGCAGAAACATCATCTGAGGATTTCTCGCACTCCCTCCACAGCAAATTATGAGCAGGCATATCACCATAGCTGTTGAAAGTGATTTTGAGCAATAAATATATAATAGTCAATTTAATTGATTCTAGCAAATAGTGAAGCATTAGGACATGTCTAATTAGCTACGTCTACAACATGACAGAATAACAATCAGATTTAGTAATAGAATGCGAACTGTGAACAAAAAAGTTTTGGGCAGCTATTTGTTTAGTAATAAATAAAATGGAAACTATACAGTATCAAATATTATTCATCAATACAAACAACTGATGACTTTGAGGCTATTCACAGCTCACCCCAGTGAATACAAAACAGAACCAATGTTATCATATTTTTTAGCTAAGAAAAGTTTCAGCTTTTTTCTTGAGATACTACCATAAAGAATAAGTGCACTGACCGCTATACGTGCTTACATATCCCCTAAAGCATATTATAATACATGAAAGAACGTTGTGAAATAGTTTCTCGTCCTCGTAGTTGAACTTTTGCAGGCAAAATCAATGCTCATAAGTTTACAATAGTAAATAAAGGTGATACAATCTTAATTTTAATAATTTATTTTGCAGCATTAACTTAGATTTCCGCTTCATTAACTTGCTCCAGCAGAAATTAATTACATGCTTTGCAATCTGATTCACCTACTTTACATTTAAGATCACCACATACTCTACAAATTTAACATTCACAGTGATCTAGTAAAGAAATTTCACAATACATAGTCATCTACTAAGCTTAATCTAACAATCAATAGACAAGCAACTTCGTTTCAATTAATCATAAAAAAGGATTAATTGCAGGTACACCTCTATAGAGAATTAAGCCAAATTTTACTCCTAAGAAACAATTTATTAGCATTTAATCTGTCTGATATCCAAAGTATCTATTCAGTATTAACACCTATGAAAGAATATGGTTCTCACCACAACACGCTGAAACATTAGAAATCAAGTTTAACTGCTAATAAGTGGCTCATCCGCTATAGTACAGTAGGTGTATCTACAATTAACCATAAAAATAATACATATTTTGTCATCACCTGAATCCAAGCTCAACCAGCCTCTGTTGACACCACCCAAAATGCCGGCTCTCATCATCAGCTACCCTTGCAAAATCCCCAAAAAACTCATCTCCGAGCTCATCCCTATACACTGAAAACCTCACCACCGTGTCCCAAGCCAAATCAACAGCATTCAACTCCACATGCGCTAAATTGTGCAGCATATACGCATTCAGAGGCATACCAAGCCTCTTATGTGATGGAATCTCCTTCGGCGACACCTGCACCAAATGCCCGCAACCCGTTCGAGGATATTCCTCAAAGAAAAATTGAAAAGGGGGTTTGTTTATAAATCCAATACCCTAATTAAGTTTTAAAGCCACTCACTTCCGAAATCATTCCAAAATTTAAAATTCTTGCATTGTATTTTTACACCCTGTAAACCCAAATGGGAAATTTAGCTATATTGTTTATGGGCAAATCAGACCGTTCATATACGGGTTGCTCCAATAGGATTCATATTCTAAAAAGAGCTACTTATGCAGTAAATATATAGCAAATTCGACCCAAATAAAACTACTTATACACCAAATATAGAAACTTAGAGATCATTAGAAATTGGGTTTAAAAATAATTCACTACAGATATTCGGGGTTTCAAAATGATTTCGAAAGTGGGCGTACTTAAAAATAAATCAGAGCGGCTTTTTGGTTTATAAACCACAAGTTTGACCCTGATTTACTTTTGAACCCAACCCCTTCCAAATTCATTAACACCAAAGTACGTAAATTGTTTCCAACCCGACAATATCATCTTAAACACAAAAATATCTATTGATTTTAAACATAGCGACTTAGATTCAAAGATAATAAGTTATTTTTTAAACAGAAATTTGTGCGTAAAAATAAAGACTTAAAATTAAGTTATGCCCACAATCCCTTCGACGAAATTCCCCAACGAAAAACAACGTAAATTCCCCAACGAAAGACAACGTAGAAGAAAGGTACCCAGTTGCACAATTACCAAGACGGGTTTTGTCGGCCGAGCGGGTCGGGCGGGGGGAAGCGCAGACCC